TAGGTTTGAATCATAGCTCTGTAACTTTCCAGCTACTTTTGAAATCTTTAGCTTCAGTTTCCCGATCTGCAGGACAAGGGGATTATTACCTATCTTAGACAGTTGGCATGAGGCGTAAATGAAGCAATGTATGTAAACAGAGTAGCGGAGTCTTGCACCTATGGGGTACATCATAAATGGTAGGGTTGGGGGCTGGAGAAATGGCTCAGCAATTAAAAGCACTTGGATGCTCTTCTAGAGGACCCTGGTTCAATTCCCAGTACCCACATGACAGCCCACAATTATCTGTAACTGCAGTCCCAGGGGATCTGATGCTCTCTTTTGGCCTCCATGGGCACTGTGTACACATGATGCATAGACATACAGGCAGGCAAAACACCCACACACATCAAAATAAAGGTAATTTAAAAAAATAAGTAAGTGGAGCTTTGAATATCCTTTTAAAATTCATGGTGAGGAAGCTAAGCACAGTGTATACACCTGTGGTCACAGCACTTGGGAAACCGAAGCATTGAAGTTGTGGCCTATATGCTGTGAATAGTGAGATCAAGGTCATCACTGATAACATAAGGGGAGCCTATTTCAAAACACAAAAGCAAACACAAACAAAACCTCAAACGACTTTATAATGGGGTGACAGAGGCTAAGTTAATAATCAGCATGGCCTGTGTGCCCTGTGACTGTCCAGCCAAGATGCTGAGTACCAGTAAGAAAAGATCCATGTTGGTACTCTATAATCCAACACAGTCACAACAAGAGTTTGTTGTTGTTGTTTTAAATGATGTGGAGAACAGTACAGATGAGGGAATCTAGAAGAACATGGAAAGCAGGCTTTACAAACTAGGAGTTTACAAGTCATCAAAATGTCCATTTCTGGGCCTCTTCTCTGGTGCCACCACTGAGGGCAGCTTCAAGATGACAGACCAAGGGAGAAAGAGCCTCCTCCCTCTGGAAAGCCACTGGCATTTTCCCACCATGGCAAAGCATTTTGTACTGTTCACCACATTATTTAGCAGGGAGCACACAGACCCACAAGCAATGTACAGAGAGACTCTTAATAGAATCCAAGAGAAAAGTAATGACATTCAGTCACTATCTTCATGACAGCAGACAAATCTGATCAGGATGATGAGCCCTGAGCAAGCTGAGGTCATCTTAGTGCCTAGAAAACACAAGATTCATTTTGCTGCTGAGGGGCCTGAAAATCGGCCATCTGAAACTGATGCCACAACAGCCAGAAAGAAGGCAGCCGAGACTTGGCAAGTATGCTGGCCCAGGGTGAGAGAGAGGGAGACAAGAAGCTTATACAAAGATCTCAAGCCAGGTGGAGGAGGGATGGATGTGGAGAGAATGGAAGGGCCTCACTTCTGAGAGCCTCACTTGTCACAAACACTTCAAACTTAATTCCTTTCTCATCATTTAGGGTCCTCTACAAGCTGACCAGGGACTTCAGTGTAAGTGGTTTATCTGGAGGGTATCATGGGGTCCTTCTTGGGGCGTGTTGGATAGGATTACTACTGATAAGGATATCCTAGATCATTGGGTTCAAAGGAAAGGGTGTTTTTATTGTAAACAAAAGTCTTGTGAGATTCCTTGAAAATATCAGAAAAAGGAGTAAATGTCACACACATTAGGGCCTTAGCATGACTGATTGCTATTTTAATGTTATTAATGTTAAGTATCTTTACATAGGAATAACATCGTCCACACATAGGAAATCTTCAGAGAACATGTTGCTAATTGTGCTGACAATCTTGATTTTTCAGCTGGTGAAAGTGAGCCTTTTTTCCCCATGTTTCCTTAATTTCCTCTGTGGGAGACCAGCTCCCACATTTTCCCATTTTTCCCAGGGTACTCTTGAAGAGAGAGGGATAAAAAATGTTAGATAGAAATGTAGTGGAGAGAGAAAGAGACAGAAACACTGGATAGCTTCGGGAGGTGCTGTGGGATATTCTGTATGTCCTGTGTGAGCCTGTTCTTGGGTTCCTCATGGCTTTACCCAGCAGGTTCGCACAGAGGATAATTAGGACCACGGGCCTGAGTGCAGGTGTCTGAGATGGTCTGCAGTTGGCTGTGCTGGGGGATGGTCTGTATGTCAAGTTGCTCTGATTGGTCAATAAATAAAACACTGATTGGCCTGTGGCTAGGCAGGAAGTATAGGCAGGACTAACAGAGAGGAGAAATAAAAGAACAGGAAGGCAGAAGGAGTCACTGCCAACCACCACCCTGACAAGCAGCATGAAAAGATGCCGGTAAGCCACGAGCCACGTGGCAAGGTATAGATTTATGGAAATGGATTAATTTAAGATATAAGAACAGTTAGCAAGAAGCCTGCCACGGCCATACAGTTTATAAGCAATATAAGTCTCTGTGTTTACTTGGTTGGGTCTGAGCGGCTGTGGGACTGGTGGGTGACAAAAATTTGTCCTGACTGTGGGCAAGGCAGGAAAACTCTAGCTACAGGGAGGGCCCAGACCAATATCTATCGGCCCCTCCTAGATCTTCTAAAGGGCTTTATATAGGAATGTCAAGGGGTGGGTAGATATAAGATAAAAATTTCAAGCAGCACTGGCCTCAGGCTTGTTCTTATTAATAAGACCTTTAAGATTCATGCAACAGGTGGGGCAAAAGACCTCCCCATTGCACGGCCAAGTGCAAACCCTTCCAATCACCTGGTAACCACACACATGGTCAAGCCATCCCTTAATGCAGCCCTGCTGGGTAAAGCAAGCTCAGATCTCACTAGGAAACCTTTGTGGGCCCCTATACCCCTCTTTCTATCCTCACAGCCATTAGCAGAGGGTGTTTAAAGCAGAGTTGTTGTATTCTGATGCTACCCAGTGAGCAAGTTCTGTCTCTGGAGGGTTCAGCAGAACGGACTGACCAATGTGAACAATGTGTCTAGAACAAAAGTCTTCTGTAGCCTGGAACCTTGACAGAGGGGGACAGGAGTGTGGCGAATAGCCAGGCCCACCCTGTTAGCTTCCTTTTCCCATTTCCCCAAAGCAGAGACTGAGACAAAGAATCAGTGCAATGTAGGTTTTTCACTACTGTGGTTAGGGTTATTCCTATTTTAATTGTTTAGGGATATTGTGAATGGGAGTGTCTCCCCGATTTCTTTCTTAGAACATTTGTTACTAGTATTTAGAAAAGCTACTGATCTTTCCATGTTGTTATTCATCCTGCTTCTTTGCTGAAAAGAGAAGTTTGCATCCTTACCCCCTGCTGCTGGTAGATAGGCATTTGACTCCAAGGGCAGTCTGGTTTCGCTCACTTGCTTTCATTTTTTTTTTTTTTTTTTTGTTCTGTCCTCTGGCACATGCCTCACCTCTCCCTATCATTAGGCTGTGTCACATCCAAATCCATTATGACCTCTATGTTCCAAATGTTATATCACAGATGCAGATCCCCACCACCACTTCAAGAAAGCTTACTCCAAAGGGGAACTTTGTCAGCTCCTTTCTACAGACTGTTCAGCATTCTTCTGTTTAATTTTGTTTTCTAACATAAAGTTGGCAGATAAAGCATCCTCAGTGGTTCCCTTAGAACCTTTCTCCCTTGCTGAAGCTTGGAGGAGAGGTCTATCTGTCTTATCATAGTGGAAAATGCAACAATGATCAGAAACTTCCAAAAACATTTGGTGGCACCCACCCACTTCAGGACATAACACCCTGCCACTCATCAGCAACTCTAGCCCAGGACATTCAGACTCCCAGATTACAAATTGGGGGCATTTGGCTCCTCTGACTTGGGTCTCAAAAACCAAGACTTGAGTTGTCCTGTTGCATTGCCCAGAAGGCCTTGACAGTTTTAGACTGAGATGTGAGCTATGGCTGAGCAGCACTGAGTAGCTCTGACCTTAGAAACAAGAACAATGTTATGGTTTGGGTCATTTCACCTCTTCATTTTCCAGTTCGCTTAGGAAAATGAGACTGTTGGACGAGTTTACAAAGCCACAAACACTGTGCAAGTATACAGCTTCACCTCTGAATGAAGAAGGCCTCCCTACTCAAAGTGTAGTGGAGAGAAAACTCTGTTGAAGCCCAAAGAATTTGTATTTGTGTCCCAACTGAAAACCTAACTGTAGCTGGGCAGTGGTGGCACAGGCCTTTAATCCAAGTGCTTGGAAGGCAGAGGCAGGCGGATCTCCATGAGTTTGAGGCCAGCCTGGTCTACAGATGGAGTTCCAGGATAGGCTCCAAAGCTACACAGAGAAACTCTGTCTCAAAAAAACAAAAAAACAAACAAAAAAAAAAACAAAAAACAAAAAAAAGAAAGAAAGAAAGAAAAAGAAAAGAAAACCTAACTGTAAGTTTATAATGGTTCACAAATACAGAACTAGACAATACTATTTCATTTACAAGGTATCAAGAATTCACTTTTTTGTAATTTATAAGTAACCCATTGGAGAAGGGGAGGGGTCAGAAATAAAATGGAGGCGGGGTGGGGGAGGGAGACTGGGGTGTCATGCTGAGTTTTGCTTCCTCACCAATTCTGTCTTCCCTTCATTCCTTGCTTGGTTAGAATAAATTATTTTCCCAGAGATATTTTGCTTATAAATGATTGACATAGAAAATTATTCACCTCCTCTAGACACATCTCTTTTTTTGAAGAAAAAGTATCAACCCACATTAAAAATAAATGTGCCATCCTAACAATAGTATGTTACTAACAAGAAAAAACATGAAACTAAAAATATCAATTCCAGCGGAGGCAACAAGGGAAACAGCAGGTGCTGGCTGGCCTCTCTAGAAGCACAACACACCTGAAACCTCCAGCTTTCCGGATTTTGAGCCTCAATGGCTTCTCTGAGGAAACCAGAATTCAACCTAAGCATCCTCCCTGGATCAGAGAGTAGATAGCAACCTTACCACTGCCCTTTCTCATTCTCTTTTTTCTTTCTTTTTCCCCTTGTTTTCACTTTAAGATAGGATATAGCTTTGTTTCCCAAGCTGACCTAGTGGTCTATGCCTCAGTCTCTGAAGGAGTGGGTTTAAAGGAATGTGTCACTGTTTCCTGCTCGTAGTGTATCCTCCTCTCATGTTACCATCGAAAATAGCTTTCACTGTCATCTCTGTTTTCACTTTTGCACCTTCAAAAGTATTAAAATGAGCAAAAATTGAACTTTACAACTTTCTTTGGAAAATCCTGTTCTTAAAAAGAAATCACATTTTGAGTCATTGTAGTGTAAATGACTAAAATATAAAAGAAGAAAAAGGGAAGAGGGAGGAAGGCATAATTTTTCCACTTGATTTGCTCATAATTTAGAATGGGATGTGCAGTCTTGATTGTGATCTGTAAGTGGAGTTTTCCTGTCCTGGCAGCTGCTCCCAAACAACCAACATGGAGACTTAATATGAATTATAAATGCTCGGCCAATAGCTCAGGCTTGTTACTAGCTAACTCTTACATTTAAGTTAACTCATATTTGTTATCCATGCTTTGTCAAGTGGCCTAGTACCTTTTCTCATTACAGCATGTCCATCTTGCTTCTCTCAGCAACTGCTCAATACTCCTCTGACTCCACTCTCCTTTTTCTTCCCAGCATTCTCTGTTTGGCTCTTCTCCTAACCTTATCCTGTCCAACTACTAGCCAGTTAGCTTCTTTATTAAACCAATCATAGCAACATATATTCACACAGTGTAAAGGAATATTCCACATTTCCCACTTTTTGTCTAATTAAAAAGAAAAATTTTAACTTTAACATAGTAAAATTATAATTATTAAGTAAGAATTACAGTTACAATATCCAGTCCATTTGTATTTGGCAAATTTAGAGAATTTATCTTATCTTTGTGACTCTAAAGTTTTATACTTAATTTACCTTTTATCATAACTAAGGAAAACTTATGATGACTGTTTAGTCTTCAAATTTGTCAAAGACCCTAGAAGGGTGAAATGTTACCTAGTGACAGGGACATCTGGCTGCCTGGACAGTCACTCTAGGTTCTTCTGTAACATTGGGGCATCCAACTTTGGCCTACAGGCCTAGTATATCTGACAGACATTTCTGAGAAACAGGAAATTTCTATCTTATTCTGGCAAAGTTTGGCAATTGCTGTTTTGCATCCTACTGGTTCAGTTTGGACAGTATACTGTCAGCAATTGAAGCAAGAGCAGTTTCTTGCCCAGTGGCTAACTAACTATTGCCACAAGGAAAGCAAACACCATACAAATTTTCTTTGGTGCCCATCATCTCCTCTGAAGTAAACTGATGCTGTCAGGAGTAAATATGTCTCACTGTCATAAAAAGCCTTAAGTTATTAAACATATTAAATGACATATTCTGTAGGTCTTTGAAGTGTTTGAACCATCTATCTATCTAAATATATCTATCTATGTATGACCTTGAAAACATATCTAATGTGACTAAGTTTGATTATTATAGATGACTATTTATTAATCTGTATTTCTTAATCATGTATTACATTTTTCTTTGTTTTTTTAGTGTATTACATTTTTAAATGAGCTGCATTAACACAATACCTTAAACATATATAAACTTTTAAAGGTAATCTATGACTGTACATACTCCTTCCCTTCTCGCTCCCAAGCCTATGTATAGTTTTAAACACACTGTAACCCATTCAGAGGTTTTTTTTGGTCTGGATCTGTTTTTACTGAGAATCTATATTGTTTTTTGATCCCATGAAACAAATCTTAAACTGCTATGTCAGCCACCGCCAGTGTAGCTTAGCTTAGTGTATGGTGGTAGTGCATGGCGGCTGGCTCTTCCCACAGGCAGCTGCCAAGAGATGCCTCTCTGTATCACCACCCACGTGTGAGACTGCTGGAACCTGCTAAGTGACTTAGCTCATGGCGCACTGTCAGGAGGGCTCAGGCCGGTGGCTCAAGTCTACAGACCGTGGCTGGGAGATGCGTCTCAACATTGTGGCCAGCATGAGAGACTAGAAAGCTGTGCCTGGCTCTATTTCTGTGTGTCTAGAACCCTTTCCCAAGCTCTCTCAGGTTTTATGTGGATGTTGGTGCAGGACATTTGAGCACCATTTGTAGGCGGAAGTTTGGCCTTGCAGGACAGAAACTTCTACCTATAAGTGATCAAATACTGTTGTGATCTGTGAGCTACACAGGCTTTCCATGCCAATTCCTCTCCTGTTTTCTCCTCTGTTGCTACTCTATGTAAGTGTTCTTCCTTGCAGATGGATGGTGTCTGAAGCACCAGTGGTTTAACCCAATGCCCTGGGAATGGCTCAGCGTTATCACGGGGCAGCTCTTAGCATCCTGCGCTTCTTTCCTTCCTGTGCTCATGTTCCTCTCTGCTTAGAGGAGCACAGGTGGTCACAAGAAGAGCAGACCAGAAGTGTCATGGAGTTGATATTCCCAGAAACAACCCCCACTAAGGAAGGGACAGGAACTCCTCCCTTTTCTTGTCGCTCAGTGGGCTGTGTCACAGAGTGTTTCTGTAGAACATCTCCTGAGGTGCCAAACAGGAAGGAGCTCAATTTGTCCACCTGGTAAAGTGTGATCATTAACACATTGTTACTGGCTTCCTTCCCTGCTTCTTTCCCACTCCCTCTCCTGCCTACTCTGTCTCCAAATAAACCAACTGGCCTTCAAAACCTTGTCTCAAGCCCTGGTGTGTGAAAAACATAAACCAAGACATAGCTTAAGGAGGAACATGTCAAACATCTCAGAAAACACAGAGAGAATTGCTGAGTTGGGAATAAGAGGAAGATCTGTCCATATATGTACCACAACACACACTCTTGTGGGAGCACAGAGCAGTTTTGGGCTGGCTCACCACTGTATTTGCAGCACCCAGGAGTCAGCCTGTATATTGCTCTCAAAAATGTAAATAGGATTCCAAGCTGGCTTCTAAGGTCTTTCAAACACTAAAATAACAGTTATCCCAAATAATGCCAAAGAAAAAACTGGGATTATGAAAGAGGAATAGAAATAAATTAAGGAAAACAAGCTCTGTTTCCCTTTACCCACAAAACACTCCTGATACCAATTGTGTGGGAGGTTTTTCCATAGCAACAAACTCTCCAACTCTAGGTGCTCTACAATTCTATTCAATTCTGGCACCATCCACCCAGAGCTAACCTGACACTCTATAAATTGAAGGACTCAGTCTCACAGGACTGGTCTGCCTACCACATCTGACACCAGTCAGGTTACCCATACTTTTCTCCAACTTAACTACAAATCAGGGCTTTGCACAGTACTGTTAAATAGCTTACAAAAGTCAGTGAAATATTTACTTGCCAGTTCATTAAAATATATCATTTTTAAAAATCTGCCCGATATCAGCATCTAGAATTACAATCATCCCAAACCAAATTCCTAGACACCAGTGTGAAGAAACAGTAACAGCCAAGACATTCTGTGCCCAGGAGAGCCCAGCAATTCTTCTGCAGTAGGCCCTGGGAAATGCAACACAGCTGAAGCCCAAGACAAGGAAACAAATAAATCCAGTTATGAGAACACAAACAGTGGGAGGAAATGAATACAACAGTTCAAGACCTAAAAATGGAAATAGGATAAATAAAAACCCAAACTGAGAGAAATATAGAAATGAAAAATTTAGGAATTTGAACAAGAAGCCCAGAGTCAAGCCTCACCAACAGAATACAAGAGATGGAAGAGAGTATCTCAGGCATTGAAGAAAAGACAGAAGAAATGGGTACCTTGGTCAAAGAAAATGTTAACTCTAAAAAATTCTAGACACAAAACATTCAGGAAATCTAGGACACTATGAAAAGACAAAAACTAAAATAGAGGAGAAGAAACCTAGGTCAAACCCACAGAAAATGTTTTCAACAAAATCATTGAAGAAAATTTTCCTAACCTAATGAAAGAGATGCAGCATATAGAACATCATATAGGTTGGACCAGAAAATAAAGTCCCCTCAGCATATAATAAAACACTGAACATGCAGAACAAAGAATATTAAGAGTTTCAAGGGGAAAAGATCAAGTCACATACACAAGCAGTTCTATTAGAATAGCATCTGATTTCTCAATGAAGACTCTAAAAGCCAGAAGGGCCTATACAGATGTTCTACAAAATTTAAGAGACCATAGATACCAGCCAAAAATATGATATCTGGCAAAACTTTCAATCACCATAGATACAGAAAGAAAGACATTCTATAATAAAGCCAAATTTAAGCAGTATCTACGCACATATCGAGCCATACAGAAGGTGCTAGAAAGAAACTTCAACCTGAAGAGGTTAACCATACAGAAGAAAACACAGGAATAAATAATCCCAGGCCAGAAAAATCAGGGTGGGGGGACACACTACAACAACAAAATAACAGGAATCAACAAACATTGCTCATTGATAACTCTCAATATCAATGGTCTCAATACTCCAATAAAAAGACACAGATGGACAGAATGAATGTGAAAACAGAATTATGGCAGTTTGAAAGAAAAATGGCTCCCAAAGGGAGTAGCACTATTAGAAAGTGTGGCTTTGTTGGAGTAAGTATAGCCTTGTTGGAGGAAGCATGACAATGTGGAGTCAGGCTTTGAGGTCTCAGATATGCTCAAGATACCACCCAGTGTCTCAGTTCTCTTCCTGTTGCCTGTGAGTCAAGAAGTAAGAACTATCAGCTACCTCTCTAGCACCGTGTCTGCCTGTACTCTGCCTTGCTTCCCACCATGGCATTAATGGACTGATCTCTGAATTGTAAGTGAGCCACACAATTAAATATTTTCCTTTATAAGAGTTGCTATACCAGAAACCCTTTCCTAAATATAACACCAACAACACAGACCCTGAGCACAACAATTAATAAATGGGACCTCTTGAAATTGAGAAGCTTTTGCAGGGCAAAAGACACAGTCAATAAGACAAAAAGACAGCCAACAGAATGGGAAAAGATCTTCACCAA